AGTAATGTATGATCAATAACCAATGGTACTGAAGAAGTCCAGGCTCTACTAAAGGCATTGGCAAAAAACAAGGCTCCAAGAATTGATGGAATACCAACTGAGATGTTTCAACAAACAGATGCAGTGCTGGAAGTGCTCACTTGTCTATGCCAAGAAATTTGGAAGACAGCTACCTGGCCAACCTGATTCCAAGGAAAGGTGATCCAACTGAATGTGGAAATTATCAAACAATATCATTAATGTCACATGCAAGTAAAAGTTTGCTGAAGATCATTCGAAAACAGTTGCAGCAATACATCGACAGGGAACTGCCAGAAATTCAAGCCAGATTCAGAAAAGGAAGTGGAACGAAGGATATCGTTGCTGATGTCAGACGATCTTGGCTGAAAGCAGAGGATACCAGAAAGATGTTTACCTGTGTTTTATTGAGTATGCAAAGGCATTCAACTATGTGGATCATAACAAATTATGGATAACATTGCAGAGAATGGGAATTGCAGAACACTTAATTGTGCGCATGAGGAACCTGTACATAGACCAAGAGGCAGTCATTCGAACAGAACAAAAGGATACTGCATAGTTTAAAATCAGGAAAGGTGAGTGTCAGGCTTGTATCCTTTCACCATACTTATTCAATCTGTATGCTGAGCGAGTAATTCGAGACACTGAGCTATATGAAGAACATGACATCAGGAATGGAGGAAGGGTCATTAACAACCTGTGATATGCAGATGACACAACCTTGCTTGCTTAAAGTGAAGAGGACTTAAAGCACTTACTGATGAAGATCAAAGACTATAGCCTTCAGTATGGATTACACCTCAACATAAAAAAAAAGAAACCAAAAATCCTCACAACTAGACCAATAAGCAACATCATGATAAATGGAGAAAAGACTTAAGTTGTCAAAGATTTCATTTTACTTGGATCCACAGTCAATGCCCATGGAAGCAGCAGTCAAGAAATCAAACGACATGTTGCATTGGGCAAATCTGCTGCAAAAGACCTCTTTAAAGTGTTATGAAGCAAAGATGTCATTTTGAGGACTATGCCTGACCCAAGCCATGGTATTTTCAGTTGTCTCATATGCATGCAAAAGCTGAACAATGAATAAGGAAGACCAAAGAAGAATTGATGCCTTTGAACGGTAGTGTTGGCGAAGAATACTGAATATACCATGGACTACCAGAAGAGCGAACAAATCTGTCTTGGAAGAGTACAGCCAGAGTGCTCTTTAGAAGCAAGGATGGCGAGACTTTGTCTCACATACTTTGGACATGTTATCAAGAGGGACCAGTCCCTGGAGAAGGACATCATGCTTGGTAAATTAGAGGGTGAGTGAAAAACAGAAAGACCACCAATGAGATGGATTGACACAGTGGCTGCAACAATGGGCTCAAATATAACAATGATTGTGAGGATGGCGCTGGACTGGGCAGTGTTTTGTTCTGTTGTACCTGGAGTCACTATGAGTTGGAACCGGCTCAATGGCACCTAATAACAACATGAAAAGGTCATGGCTGTTAATCAGGGTAGTGTACTATATACTACCTGACATTTAGGTGTGGTTTTAGAGATATTTAATGTGTAAATATTTTTAATTTTGTTCTGTTGCTTTCAGTTCTATGTCAGTATGATACCTGTTCCTTCTGAGAGGTATTCATGTCTATCACATTTGTTTTTCCTAGGAAGTCTCAGGACCAGCTTCAAATGGAGGGATCAGCCAGACACATGCCTATGATGCCCAGTATGAGAGGTGATTGACTTGACTCCTAAAGATTAAACCAAGGTTGAGGCAAGCACTTAGTGCACAGACCGTGCCTGGCAGTAGACACTGGAGCATGTTTTAGCTCTCCACCTCCTCTTGTGGCTTTTCTCATTAAAATAGCTATAAATGCTTGATAGTGAAGTTTCCAGGAAGGGGTGACAGAACTGCTGAATTCTGTCTGTCAGGGAATCCCTGGGTGGTGCAAATGGTAAATCCGCTCGGCTGCTAACCGAAAGGTTGGCAGTTTGAGTCCACCCACAGGCACCTTGGGAGAAAGTCATGGTGATCTACTTTTGAAAAATCAGTCATTGAAAACCCCATGGAGCACATACACTCCGACACACATGGGGTCGCCATGAGTTGGAG